CCCGGCTCACAGCGAACTGGCACCCCTGTCTCAAGTGCCACACTGCCGAAGGACGGCAAGCTTTGCCTGGCTTTCTCACACCGGCTCTGGGGCGATGTCATGTCCATTCGCGCTGTTCGGCTGGACCCCTACCCGACTGATGTGCTGATTGTGGCGTCTCTGGAGGCCAAACTCTCGCTGGTGGTCTTTGACCCATACTCCCAGTCGATGGAGACCCTCTCGATGCACCACTATGAGGATGAGTCTCTGAAGGTATGCCCGCGTCCTCGCCCACTGGCATCTCGCTTTGCTCAATGTGGTCCTGACCGATGGCCTGCTCCCCCCCCCCCTTCCAGGAGGGCCGAGTGACCTTCAATTCGGACCCCGAGTTGACGGTCGACCCGGCCAACCGGTGTGCCTCTCTCCGTGTTTACGACGACCATTTTGCCATCCTCCCCCTGGGACAAACGGGCATGATGGACCTTGATGGGGATGCCGCCAAGGAGTGCGTCATGTTTGGACGGCACTCCAGTCCCCCGTGAGCCCTGTTGCTCGTGAAATTCGCCGCCGCCCCCTTCCCCCTTGCCCTTCTTCTCTCTCTCTCTCTCTCTCTCTGACACTCCCTTCTCTCCTTTCCTCTCTCCCGATTGGCATTCACCAGTCGGTCCCTGCTTACCGGATCTAGCTTTGTGCTGGATTGTTCCGACATCGACAATGGCTTCCGCAATGTCAAAACGTCGGTCTTCTTGCATGGCTACTACCAGCCCACCGTCACGGTCCTCTATGAGCCCGTTCCCACAAGCCCATCGTATGGTCTCCCCCTGCCCCTGCTCCCCCCCCCTCTCTCTCTCTCTCTCTCTCCTCCTCAAACCCCTCCTCTTCGCCGCTGGGGTGATTGTCGCTGACCACCACTCTACCACAGGCTTCTCGGCCTGCGCAAGGACACCCATTCGATCATCACCTTCTCCCTGGACTTGGCTCGCGGTGATAGTCAAGTCCTGTGGCGGCGCGCGTCCATCCCCTTCGATGCCTTCCAGCTGATTGCTCTCCCCCGGCCGATTGGCGGTGTCTTGGTCATCTGTCACAGCTCCCTGATCTATGTCAGCCATGAGTCCCTCAATTATGGCGTGGCTCTCAACGAGTTTGCCAAGCTCAGCGATTATCGTTTTGCCACCAATTGGGCGTCCATCGGAATCGGACAAATTTCCCTCGACGGCTCCAAATGGTCCCTGCTGTCACCTTCTCGACTCCTGGCCTCCCTGCGAAATGGCGACCTGTACGTGCTGCCCAGCCGCCACCCTGCCATCCAACCGAGCCACCCACCTGTCCATGTTCCTGGTTCTTTCTTTCTCTCTCTCTCTCCCCCTCTTTTCCTCGTTTGTATTCCATCCTGACACCCGCCATTCGACGCTCCACCAATTCGGTCTCCCCTGATTGTTGATTGGTGTTCAAGCTACATGGTCGACATTCTGGCCGAGGGGAGCTTCGTCAACCGCATCTCGTTTGAGCGCCTCGCTTCGGCCGGTCTTCCCTCGGGAATTTCGCCGATCGGGTCAACGGGCTTCGTTTTCCTGAGCTCCCAGCTGGGTTTGCCCTTGCTGCTGCATATGGAGGAGAAAGGTCGCGCTGTCCTGCCTGTCACAAGTGCCGAGTCACCTGCACCGGCCCTTTCCTCCACCCAGGCATCTGAGGGTGTGTACAGACACCCCCCCCCCACACACACGTGCAACCAACTCAGCTTGTGTGCCATCGTTTCTCTGGCCCCCCTGCTTCCCTCCCTTCTTTCTTTCTCGCTAGCCATGTCTACTGACGACCTTCCTGGCGATCTAGGCTTCGATGAGCTGGATCTCTTGTTCGGCCATACTGAAGGTGCCAGCACGGCCGGCGGGGCGGCCGATCTGAAGCCCGCCTCGGCCAGCAGCGGTTGGCTCATCACCGTGTCCGACTGGCTGCATAACATTGGCCCGATCAAGGATTTCGCTGTCGGCCGGGCGGTTGGCGTGTCTGTGCGTTTGCCCCTTGACCAGCTACTCCCCCACATGTGTTGGCTGTTCTTTTCGTCCTCTTCGCCGGGCGCTCCGCCTGTGCTGCCTCGTCAATGCGACTGACCCACCGGTCTTTCTTTCTCCCCCCCCCCCCTCTCTCTCCCTCCCAGAACGCCATCTCCAACAACGCGCTCTATGATTTTGTCGACATTGTTGCCCTGTCCGGGCACGACTCGACGACCACCTTCTCCATCATGCAACGCGGAATCCGGCCGCGGATCCTCTCCTCCTTCGACATGGAGGCGCAGGACATCTTTAATATCCGCAGTTCCTCCGGGCCTGATGCACAGGACGCTTTCTTGATCCTCTCCTTCGCTGTGTCGCGCTCCTTGGTACGGATATTGTGTCGTGCCTTTTCTTCCTTGCCCTCCTTCTTGCCTATTTTTATGGCAGCATCGCTACGCCATCCTCTTACCTCTCCCTCCCTCTGCCTCGCTCCCCCTATCTCTTTCTCGTCCCTCCTCCCGGTTGGCAGATCCTCCAATGTGGCGAGGGTCTCACTGAGCTGACCGACACCGGGCTCGTCGGCTCTGAGGCCACTATTCATGCGGAGCCCATCGAGGGCACTGGATGCTTCATCCAGGTGACGCCCTCGACCCTGCGGATCCTGAGCATGCATGGTGCGCACGCTTCTCTCCGCGGGTTTCCTCCGATGTTTCGTCCTTTCCCCTTCCTCTTCTTCCTCATCTTCTTCCCCCCCCTCTCTCTCTCTCCCCCTTCGTCCGGCCTCCCTCTCCCCCTGAGCCATGCCCTTATCCACGCCCTCGTCCCCGATCTGATGTTTTCTTTAAACACTGTGACCGCCTCACTGATGCTTTGCCCCCCCCCCCCCCATTCTGTGCTGGAAGACGCCTCGCTGGTGGCTTCGCTTGCGCTCAGTGCCCGAGCGCCGGACGCCTCGGCCGTGTCAGCCTCGATGGCTGGGCCGTTGTTGGCGATCCTCTTTTCGGACGGCAGCCTCCAGGCCCTCCAGTTCCAGCCCGAGCAGCAGCACTTCCACCCGGTCGATCTTTCGGCCGTCAGCCTGCTTGGTGGTGACAATGCGCAGCGTGTGACGGCCCTGGCGGCCTTCCACGACCGGGGGCACTTCCTTCGGCCCCTGGCCACTTTCCTCTCCCCTGCCGCCCTTGGGCAATTGTGCAGTCGCGTCACGCCAGCCGGCTCCACCGGAGCCGGTGCCCCGACGGCTTCAATGTCGGACCTCGGCACCCCGTCACTGGCCTCCGTAGACCTGGATGACGAGGATGACTTCCTGTATGGCGGATCGACCGCCGGAGGTGGTGGTGCTGCCGAGGCTCAAGCCATGGAAGTTGATGGCCCATCGGAATCCGGCTTCGGCGCCTCCGGCGGCGCCGGTCCGTTGCTTGGTGGCGATGGCGCCCAGACCCCCCTGCAGGAGGCATTGCGTGCGCTGGTGTCTCCCGATGGCGCGGAGCAATTCCTCTTCCTGGCTCTGGCCAGTGGCCATCTGTTGGTCCTGCGGCTGCCGGCGGCTGCTCACTCGGGCCTGGCACCGGCCATGGCCGAGGTGGTATTGTTGAGCGATGGTTTGGCCGATGCCACCGGTGTCCTGGCCGATCGGCCAGGGCTTGAGCATCTTCTCTCGGACGCGGCCCCGCTGACGGATGTCGTGGAGGAGTTGCTGCTGTTGCCACTTGGCGCCGACTCGCCTGAGGTGGTCGCCGCCACCAGCACGGCTGCCCCCGTGGCTGGGAGCCGGCCCATTGCCAGTCTCTTCCTCATGGCCGGCCATCGATCCGGCGATGTGACAGCCTGGCGACTGTCAGATGCCGGGCTCGGGTGTGCATTCGATGCGATGCATGGTGTCAACCTTGGCCTTGAGCAGGGGGACACCAATGATGCCATGGGTCTGGCTGCGGCGGCGCGACGCACTCTCGGCCGTCTGGGGGGGCGTTTTGCACGAGTCGACTTGGCAGGGGCCATTTTCCGGCCGATGTCCGTGGACTTGGCCACGGCCAGCACCGGGGCCCTGCTGGCGGATGCCGGCGAAGCACGTGCGGCCCAGGCTGCCGCCAATCTCGAAGCCAAGCACATCCAGTATTGCGGTGTGCGGGCACAGATCCTGGCCCAGGCCGCCGCGGCACAGGCCGCGGCGCAAGCCAGCTCCGGGCACCGGCGCATGCGTGGTCCTCCGCCCTCGGCCGTGGCCAACATCAGCCCCCATCTGCAGTATCAGCAGCAGCTCCTGCGAACGGCCGAGGACACGGCCCTGCGGGCGTTGCACCAAATCCAAGAGCGCTTTCGCCACTCGACGGCGTATTCCTCCATGCCGGACACCGCGGCGCAAATGGCCCAGGCCGTGGCTCGACTGCGGCACCGGCCGCGACGTTTGCGGGCCTTCACGCATGTTGGCGCTTCCAGTCCCCTGGGCTTTGAGGGGGTCTTCGTGTGTGGTGCCCGCCCCAAGTGGATTGTGTATTCTCCACGCACAGGCTTCTGTGTGCATAGCATGCAGTATGTGACCCCCCCCCCCCCCCCCCCCCCCCCCTTCTGGCCCCTGTATATGCCCCATGCACCCTTCTTGTGCACCTTCGGCCCCTTCCCTCCTGCCCTCTGACCTCCTTTCCCCTTCTCCCGGGCACCTCGCGCAGCGATGACGGCCCAGTTCGTGCTTTCACCCCTCTGAGCATTCAAAGCAGCCCGCGTGGCGTGGCATACCTGGCCGAGGCAGTGAGCCACACGGCCCATGGCCGGCCAACGTGCCGACTGCGTGTGTCTCAGCTTCCGAAAGACATGAAGATCGACAGTCCGTGGCCCATTCGTCGTGTTCCTCTCCGTTGCCGGGCTCACAAGATTGCCTATCACCCGGAGAGCGGGCACTACATTGTGGTATGTTTTTTCTTTCTCCCCCTCATTGGACCCCCTTCTCCCCCGCCCCTCCCCCCCCCCCGCCCCCGCTTGCAGGCTCGCAAGTTCCTTACCTGTCTTCTTCCTTTTTTTTTGCCTCCCAGGCCACCAGCCAGCTGGACACCTCGGCGGATGTGGCCACCTCCGGCATTGACTGCGAGGACCAGCAGGCTGGCGGGCCACTGCAGGCGAGCACCGTCACCTCTGACCTCGAGGCTGCGACCCATGCGACCCCGATGTCGAACGGGGCGCTGCCCATCCCGCCCGACCGGCGGCGATTCTCCATCGAGCTGTGGTCGCCATCGGCCTGGCTAGCCGGGCCCGCCGATCGGATCGAGCCGATGCCATCATTCGCTCAAATGCGGGAGGATGGCGACGCCAGTGGGGTTGCCTCGGAGAAGAATGCCGCTCGCCTGCGTGTCGATGAGCAGGTCCTCGCTGTGGAGACCGTCTATCTGGACACGACTGGTGCCGGGGTTGGGACCGATGTGCCGACCGAGCGCCGGCCCTTCATCGCCGTCGGCACTGGCACCCTGCGTGGGGCTGATGAATCGTGTGGTGGTCGCGTGCGTGTTTTTCCTTCTCCCTCCCCTTCCCTCTCCGCCCGTCCCCAGGCGCCTCCTGTGGCCACACGTCTGTGGCCTCTTTTGTTTGGGTCTTCCTCGGGCTCGCGACTGACATCCTGCCGCGCGATGTGGGATGCCGGGGATCCGCGCTTTCCAGATCCTCATCTTCGATGTGGTTGAGCGCCATCATTCCGACCCGAAGAAGGCAACCTCATCACATCGATTGAAGCTTGTCTTCTCCAAGACCTTCCGCACCCCGGTGTCTGCGGTGACGGAGCTCGGCGGCCATATCGCTCTCGCCCTTGGACAGCGTGTGCGTTCCCCTTTCGTGTCCTTCTTTGCCCCTTCTCTCTCTCTCTCTCTCTCTCTCGCTGTCTATGTCCAGCTGGCGCGGTGTCCGTCCCTGCTTCCCTCGCCCTCTCCTCACGTCTCTCCCATGCACACACTCACCCTCCTCCACTCAGATTATTCTCTACTCCTTCAAGGATGCGGCGGATTTGGTTGGGCGCGCTTTTCTCGATGTTCATACCTATGTGACGGCCCTGTCTTCGGTGGCAGGGCGATACCTGCTGGTGGGTGACGCCCTGCGGGGGGTTTGCTTTGCTCGGTATAAGGGCCATCCGCTGGTGGGGCTGGATATCATCGGCTCAGATCGGGGAGAGGTTCGCCGCCACTCGCCCGTCGGTTCGGGAGAGTTCATCGTCGACGACACCTCCCTGGCCATGGTCTCTCTGGATGATGCGGGCTCCATGCACGTTCTGCGCTATGATCCGGCATGTGCGTGGTTCTCCCCCCGTCCCCCCCCCCCTCTCTCTCTCTCTCTCCCCTCAATCTCCTTCTGCATTTCTTGCCCCAAGCCCCTGTGTCCGGCTCGCTGTGAGCCCTTGATCGCCGTGCCTGTGCGCCTGTCCGCCCTCGCGCCGACTCACACAGCTACACACCCACACCACCAGCCATCCAAAGTATTGCCGGAAAGCGCCTCCTGCGTACGGCTGATATGCATGTCGGTGCCAACCAGCTTAGCTGCCCCCGGTCCTTCAGATTCTCGATGCGTTCCCCGAGTGTCCGATCCTCGCGCCAGCAGTTTACCCTCTTTGGTTCGTTTTCGCCATTTGTCCTCTCCCCTCGCCCTCGCCCTCGCCCTCTTCCTCTATCACTCGGTCTGTCATGCCATCCGATCTCTGGGTTCAAGGATCTCTGACCCTGTGTGTTTGTCTCCATCCATTTGAAACGCGCTGCTTTACCCGGCCGCGATTTTTAGCCAGCTCCGAAGGTGTTCTTTCCTCGGTGGCTCCGGTCCCCGAGCGACGCTTCCATCGTCTGTCACTTCTGCAGCGCAAGCTCACCTCCGGCCCAACTTTGGCCGCCTTGTCCTCCAGCGAATATGGCGCTGCCACGTCAGCCCAGGTGGTCCTGCCATCGACTGCGGCTGCGGCCGCGGCTGCGGCTGCTACTGACCTGTCTCCGGCGGTCGAGGCTCTGCGCGACCTCCTTTCGGCGCCGGTCCTCCCGGCTGCCGCCCTTCGCCCGTTGGGCAGCCTCAATCCCCGCGCTTTCCGAGTCCCACGTGCCATCGGGCCTCACCGGTCGGCCGGTGCCGGGCCCGGTGCCGGATCTGGCCGCCGGCGCGGCGTGGTCGACATCGTGCTCATCCGCCATGCCTTCCTCAACTCGAGCATGCGCGAGCAGGTACCTCGCCCTGCTGGGCCCCTTTTTTTGCCCTTCCCCCACCCTTGTGTGCCCGATCCCCGTGCCCCCCCCCCCCCCCCTCAGCCACATGCTTCTTCTGCCGCCGGGCCACTCACACCCCACCTTAAATGTCCCACCTCTGCGCACTTTCCGAAACACAGCGCGAGATCGCCCGGCGCATCGGCTCCAGCGTGGAGCAGCTCTTCGACGATCTCCTCTTCCTGGAGCACAGCCTGGATATTTTCTGAGCCCCAATCCATGAATACACGTGATATATCCAATCGCAGCGCCAGCCCCCTGGTGGTGGGGGAACCTGCGGTGGTTTGGATCGGTGGCAGGAGGGGCGCGGCGGCGCGGGCAGAGACACACAGGCGAGGGGGGAATGGCGGACTGGAAGCAACCAAAGATGGGGCCGCGGGATTTCGAATTGTGGCACTTTTGCAACCTCTCTTCGGAGAGCGGCCTCAGGAGATGCCGGCGAGGAAGATGAAGGGTAAGATTCTCCACCTATCCCCAACTTCAGTCTCCTTCCCTGCTTTTTTTCCCCCTCCCCCCTCCCCCCCCCCCACCTGTTCGGGTAGATCTACTGTGTCTTTGATCTTCCTGCCGACGTCCATGTCCAGCCCGGCGTCTGCTGGTCCATCTTCTCCCCCCGGGGGAGCCGCGGAGGGGCGAGAGGAGGGCCAGGTGGTGCGAAGTGCGCCGACTGGGTCCGCTGGACCGGCGAAGGATCTGGCATCCAGCTCCCTGACCACCGGGTCTCCTGTGCCCGAGCTTCTTGGCCGTTGGAGTCGCATCATTGGCCTGATCGCTGATGACCCCCAAAATGCGGCACCCCCGCCGTCACGGCTCCAGTCCTTGCGACACCTGCGCACAGCGAAGGCCACTCGGGCCTCTCCCCGATCCCGACACATCGTACAGATGGCCCCTTCATCTGGAGCAGCGCATCGGCCCCCTCCCAAGCATGCGCCTGTTGAGACTGGGACTGCCTTCTCTTTCCCCGCCACGTCCGATATGCCAGAGGGGGCTGCCACTTCAGCAAAGGCCCCTGTAATCAAGAGCGAGCCTGCCTCGGCCGACAAACCGGCGCCCCCGTCGAATGGCCGTGCTCCTGGGCCGGCCGCCATGATCAAGATCTCGGATGACTGTGCGTCCCTCGCGTAAACACATCCTCGCACATCTTTGGCCACCTTCACACATCCACACGTCCATACATCAACACACATACACACACATATATACAAACACGCGTGGGGATGTGCCCTCTCGTGTGTGTGTGTGTGTGTGTATGTGCGTGACCTCTTTTTTTTTTTCAAGCAGCGCATTCATCTCACCCCTCCTTTGAACACATCCCACACCGCGCCCATCTATTTCAGTGTTCATGTCCACCGACGCAACACAACTTTCGGCCGAGGATGTGGGCTATCGGCATGAGGACCATCGCCCCTCATCCCATCGTCTGTGGAATTACCTCCCGCGGCTGGACTCGCTGATGCCGCGAATCTATGGACTGTGCGTGTGGGCTTGCCCATCACCCTCCCCGGCTACTTCCCTCTGCCTCCATCATGTCCGTCTGTCCATTCCTGACGCCCCTCGATCAAAGATTGAAGTCTCCATCAGCTCGCTTTGTCCAGCTCCAGGATCAACTCGTCGCACGCGAGGCGGAGGTACAGCTGACCTGCATTCCCTGCATACATGGGCCATCATTCGTCCGTCAAACCTGACATTTTCCCTCCCTTTGCCAGGCTGAGCAGGAAATTCGCGATTTCGAGCAGCAGCTCCGCGAGCGTGAGCAACGCCAGCGCGAGGCCGAACGGCTGGCCGAGCTGGAGCGTCAACAACGCGAGGCCGCGGCTCAGCAGAAGCTTCGTCGGCCCCTTCCGAAGGTGGTCCGCCTGAATGCGGAGCAAAGTAGCGATGTCCATCGCCGGGTGTGGACCCGCCAGGGGGGCGTGCTGGCCAGCCGGTTCAATGTTGACATCACCCGCCAGGATGTCCTCACGCTGAAGGGGACATCATGGCTGAATGACGAGGTGATCAACTTCTACGGGCAGTTGATCATGGAACGCGCCGGCAATGCCCAAGCCCATGGGTTGCCCTCGGTTCATTGGTTCAGCACCTTCTTTTACTCGACCCTGGCCAAGGATGGCTATGCTCGGGTCCGGCGATGGACCCGGCGCGTGGACATCTTTTCCAAGGATCTGCTCCTGGTACCGGTGCATCTCGGCATGCACTGGTGCATGGCGGCCGTTCACTTCCCCGATCGGCGGATCATCTACATGGACAGTCTCGGCGCGCGAAACGACGAGTGCCTGGATGTGCGTCCTGCTTTCCCCTCGCCTCCGTTGGCGAATGTGCCCCCTTTGGCTTGGTATCGGCCATTGACTTACATATTCTGTTCCCCCCCCCTTTGCTCGAACCCGCTCCATGACCCTCCGCCCCCCTCCTTTCACCCTCCCCCTCCATGTCTCATCATGCAACTAGCTTTTGTTGATGTACCTCGACCAGGAAAGTCGCGACAAGAAGGGCACACCCTTCGATGTGACTGACTGGGAAACCGAGTGCCTTAGCGTGCGATTCTCCTCCCGGACCCCCCTTGCCTCTCTGTGCTCGAGCCCCGCCCCCCTCGCGACTCTAATCCCGCTTTATGCCCCCTCTTCTTCCTCTCCCTCTCCCTCTCTTCCACCTCTCTGTCCATTCTCCTTGGCCCGTCGCTGCTTCACACATGTGGCCCATCCCGTCAATTGTTCCCAGGCAATTCCGCGACAGAAGAATGGCTACGATTGCGGGGTATTCGCATGTTCCTTTGCCGAGTGCCTTTCGCGCGGAATTGGGTTTGATGGACGCTTCAACTTCACCCAAGCCGACATCCCAGCCGTGCGTGAGCGCATGGCCTACGAAATTGCCCATTGTCGACTGCTAGAAGGGTAGCGCCCCTGGGGCCACCTCAATACAAAACAAATTACCACCTCCACCGGGGTGAGGCTGCTTGGTCTTATCCCTCCTCTGTCGACTTGCCCTTGCCCGCTGCTCCCCGCCGGTCGGTGTGTGTCTCACACGTTTGGGACACCCCTCCCCCCCCCCCGTCCCTCCACGGAAAGGTGGACTGCCTGCCTGGACACACATAGGAAGCCAAATGCCGGGGGCCTCATTTGCAGGGGGGAGATGTCGCCTTTATTATACATTCCAGATTGCGGGGAGTAGGAGAGATATGAGACACCGAGGGGACGTGCGCCCAGGGTCATCCCGCATTCTCATCTGCTCACCACGAAAAAAGGGCTGTCACAATGGTGGCTGCTCCCTGCTTGTCGCGGCAGGAGTCAGGACAGCAGTTCAACATTTCAAAAGAGGCACGAAAGATACCCAGGGAGGCAAAGGGACGTCAGCCGGGCGATTGCCTCCCCCTTACGTTTCTCTCTCCCATGGCCATGTTCAGTTCATTTGTTGCTTGCACCTGGCCAATGATGCCATTGACACGACGACGGTGACGACGACGACGACGACATCGCACGACCCATCCATGGAGGGCGTGCGATTCCTTCTTTCAGAGAGGCCGCGAGAGCGATAGAGAGGGAGAAGGAGAGAGAGCAAGAGACATGGCCCTTGCGGGGCCTCTCACATGTGGAGCTTGCCCTGCTGAACCATCTTGATGTCAGCGGCGACCATCTCCTCGACAAGGGACTATTTTGGGAAAGCATGCCCGCGCGTCGCAGGGGGCCGGGGGGGGGGGGGGGGGGGGGGAAAGGGGGTACACCGAGAGGGACATCGGGTTAGACATCTGTGCTTCAGCCGCGGCAACACAGACGGGGCGTGGCCTAAGTGGCGAAGAAGCTGGGCATGGGGGAGAGAAAGGAAAGCTCGACAGACAGAGGGAGCCATAGCCAGAGAGAGAGGCGCGGGGCGAGCAGTGCGCACCTTGAAGGACACCTTGTGGCGCCATCCGAGCTCGCGCTGGGCCTTGCGCGGGTCACCCTGGAGCAGCTCCACCTCGGCCGGGCGGTAGTAGCGCGGGTCCACGCGGACCAGAGTCCGGCCGGACTCACTGCACTTGCCGACCTCATCCTCGCCGGCACCCTCCCACCTGAAGGGGGGAAAGGAGTGAAAAAGCAGGGTTAGCATGAGGGATGCAGGCGTGGGCCCCAGGGGCGCAGGGCCCCGGGCGACTGTCATCCATGTCGGCCAGGCACTCCCCACCAAACACGAAAAAAAAAAAGGCGCGCTCGATCAAAGGGGCCCACACGGGGGTCTGACTGCCAGGAAGGCGGCCGAGCCAATGGGGTGCCCCCCCCCCCCCCCCTCCGGGGGCCAGGACGTACTGGATGTTGATGTTGATGTGCTTGAAGGCGAGCTCGACAAATTCGCGGACCGAGTGCCGGCGACCGGTGGCCAGAACATAGTCCTCCGGCTTGTCGCTCTGGAGCATCAGCCACATGCCCTCGACGTAGTCACGAGCGTGGCCCCAATCGCGCAGGGCGTTCAGGTTGCCCAGGCTCAGGCACTCCAGCTGGCCAAGGTGGATTTGGGCCACGGCGCGGCTGATCTTCCGGGTGACGAAGGTAAACCCACGCCGGGGGCTCTCATGGTTGAAGAGGATGCCATTGCAGGCATACATGCCGTAGGCCTCGCGGTAGTTCTTCACAATCCAGAACCCGTACAGCTTGGCCACGCCGTACGGCGACCGCGGGTAGAAAGGGGTCTTCTCGGACTGGGGGATCTCCCGAACCTGGCCGTAGAGCTCCGAGGTGGAGGCCTGGTAGAAGCGGACCTTGTCGGTGAGGTTGCAGGTCCGGATGGCGTCCAGAAGGCGCAGAGTACCGACGGCATCCACCTGGCCGGTGTACTCGGCCATGTCAAAGGACACCTAGAGGGGGGCAATGAGCCCGGCAGGGTGGCACACGGTCAGTTCCGGTCGAATGAAGGAGGCTTCTTCCCCGAGTGTGCCACGCATTTCACGGGCGAGGGCGAGGGCGGGGCGAGGGGGGGGGGGGGAGCGCATACCTGGACGTGACTCTGAGCAGCAAGGTTGTAGATCTCGGTTGGCTTCACCTGGCTGATGATGTGCACCAGGCAGGTGGAGTCGGTAAGGTCGCCATAGTGGAGCATCATGCGGGCTCCCTCTGTGATGAGCATGACCATTGAGTGGCGGAACGGGCAGCGCAGGGGGGCAGGCAGGCAGGCGGCAGAGAGCCCGCCATGGGTTGGGACACGGGAGGTGGGGGCCTGTTAGCAGAGGCGCCTTTGAGGGCGACGGGCAGCCCCCTCATGTCGGAGGGGGAGGGGGGGGGGGGGGGGGGGGGGGGGCTGTGCATGCGGCCGGGATGAAGCCCGAAAAGGGGCGGATCGCCTTGCGTACCGGCATACTTGTGCTCGTAGATGTGCTCAATGCGCGAGGTGTTGAAGGAGCTCGAGCGCCGGATGATCCCATGGACCTCATAGCCCTTGGACAGGAGCAGCTCGGCCAGGTAGCTGCCATCCTGGCCAGTGATGCCGGTGATGAGGGCAACCTTGCGGTTGGGGTCCAGGGGCGGGTAGTTGCGGGGCGGGTCCTGGGGAAGGGGGATCTCGGCGGACTCGGCAAAGTGCGCGTCCAGATCGAAGTCCTCGGAGTCGGCGTCCGGCCCACTGGAAGCGGCCACCGGGGCCAGGCTGGTCAGGACAACACCGCGGTTGAGGACATTGCCGGCCTCGGTGTCGCCCTGGCGGGCAGGCGTCAGGCGGGGGGTGCCCGAGCCGTCATTGTTCTGGTCAGTCAACCCGGCGCTCGAGGCGCTTGGGGTGATGTCGTTGTTGTTTGGGTTTTGGGTCATGGTTGGCGGGGGGGCGGAGGGGG